TTACTTTTAATGCATATGGTGAATCAAACTTACTTTGCTACTGATCGTAAATGTTTCCTAAGTTTGTCTAGGTCTCCTGAATCAGTGTCATTGATAACAAACTCATCACAGGCATAGCTGAAAAACATGAGCATTCAAAGCAAAACTGAGTACAAATGTGGCAGTGGGAATATTGTTATGGACAGAATAAATTATGTTTTAAAGTTAGGTGTTTTTGTGTAATACCACTTTAAAAATACATCTTTTTTACACGACCTGTAGTCTTGAATAATATTACAAATAAATAGTAAAAATTTACATCTTTGGTTTAATAATATGTGACAGTTGAGTGCTACTTAAGTGTGTTGCTAGAAAAGATATCAGAGATGAAAAGAATTCTAAGGTTTTTCAAGGTGCAGATTGCTTGGAATATTTTATCTGTTCTTACCAAAAGGCTGCATAACTGTCACAGTCCATACACACTGAATGCTTCTGTCGCTCCTCGTAATGCAGTTTGGCATGAGCATTGACATATCTGAAAATACCAACAAATCTGTAACAATGCTGCAAATTCAATGTTAAATTTATTTTTTTCTTTTTAAGAGCCAAAATAAATACATAGATCTACATTAACTCTGGTAATGTGAAGACAGTTGTAGTTTTTGATCAAAGGCTCATGTTACATGGGCAGCCTCTCATACTACAAAATATCTATGCTGAATTTAATAAAAGCTATTAATCTTGGGTTAATTAGCATATCAAATTTCCTAATTTGCACAGAAGAGAAAATATTTCTTTGCATCATTTACATAAATCAGAGAAAAGGAGTAAACCTATTACTGCTAAATATGCCTGCTACTACCTTTAACAGACAAAAATGTCAGGCTCTTTTGCCACATTGTTATAATGATATTTTTTTTCAATTGTTATCATCCACTGCACTGCATCTATCATATTGATTTGTTTAAATATACTGAGAACCAATCCCTTTAATCAAACACATGACTGGTTTCCTATTACCTTCCACAATGAACCGCTCCACATGTCAAACAAAGCCATGGACTCTTGCTTGTCTTACATACTGAAACATAATAAACACGACTTCAAACAGAATGTCCATTTTATAAAAAAAAAAAAAAAAAAAAAACATTTATCTTTTTTTTAAAATTCTTATTCATTTATCTAATAATGGAAACTACAAAAGAATATTTTTCATGTAACTATTATCCAAACAGTTTCCTTGTTATAGAGCACCGTATTGATTTTCTCTCCTTCTTGGCAAAGACCAATAAAAATAATAAGGGTCGAAGAGTCATTCAAGGCGAGACGGTAAATATCAAGACTGGCCACAGTTGATGTATCTGCTATCATATATACCTCTCTTTTTCCCAACCACGATACAGAACCTAACAGACACTGCATTATTATTCCTGGTATTTAAAACCTTGACAATGACTCACAACCATTAATTTACTTGATCTTGCATTTTCAACATCAAAAATTAAAAATTGTGTGAACACTGAAGTTTCAGGGGGACCAGGTAATTACAGCTACCTACTTTTAAAAGGTTCTTCTACAATAAACAAACTTTATGAGGGGGTGCACCGATAAGAATAATTCTTATTCCACCTGGAATACTGGCAAGCCTATATTATAATCAATCCGCTGTAGTGTTATCTTGCAGAGAGTACTAAACAAAAATATTTTCCAGGAGGCTTATTTAAGATCAGGTCGGGCATCCTAGGCTAGGATATTTGTTCTGAAGTATTCTATAGACTGCTTCATTTGGCATCAAAATAACAATGGTTGCAGTAATTATGCAGTAGCTGTGCATAAGGTGCTACACAATGCAATATAAGACTTGCTTCTTGTTCCCACTGCTGACTCCACATATTTAAGGGAAACAGAGCAGGTAAAATACAAATTTGGACAATAATAAGATCAAGGGAATAATGCAGAATGTGGCAAGAACATGGATATTATCATATATTTATGCTCAGGTGGCAGAAACAGTTAATTTAGCACATGTCTTATGAATCTAACTGTAATGTTTTTTCCCTGCACACCTTACTCATAAAGGCCATCTATAAAACTTTGTTGCTAGTTATTTGTTACAGACATCTGCCAAAACAGCATGACTTACACACCTTGAAAATGTGATGTCATTTGCCCACATATGCAGCTACTGACCAACAATATCAAGTTTCCAAGAATATCCATGAGATTTGAACATGGAAATGCGCAGTGCAACATAAATTGGTAATTCCTTGACAATAAGTAAATCTAAACATAGCATAGAGCCATTCTTTTTTTTTTCTCCACTGAACAGAGACATCACCGCCACACCATTTGTATACCTTGTGGGATCCCAAATGCTCTCTATCTAATAGATTCACTTCATAGCCTGGAATCTTGAAGATATTTTGAACTTGACAATGTATGTGCTAGCAACCTCACAGTGTCAATATTCCTACCATATATTCAGACAGCACTGACCTCAACAAACCAACTCAAGATCATTCTATTCAGACCTAATGTCATTCATATTAAGACTGTGGAGAATATTATCTCCAACGTACGTACAAAATTATACAGTATCCAAGGCAAATACATGCAAGACAGGATATTCAAGCAGAAGAGCTGTACACACAATTTCATCATTTTCAAGTAAATAATTTTTTCTTCACACATCACAGAAAGATTTTCTTCATATGGAGCTCCCATCGACTCCCAGGAATATTGTAAAGTAGCGAACTTGTTAAATATCAGTCACATGATCTCTTGGCTACACCCATTTTCTGAATGCCATTACACAAAACATTTTCCATCGCACTACAGTGACGGTCTTCGAACTGAATTTCAATATGGTGACATATCGCAAACCAAATGCGATGCAGCTACCCCTTTTGTGGCATCTACCTGAACAGTGAAACTGGCACGGTGGATTTTCGTCTTTCATAGGGGGCGCTGTGATTTTTACATTTTCGCTCAAATGAATACACTCCATGTGTGTTGTAGCTGATTCCGTGTGACATTCAGGATGATTCTGGCACAGACAATGCGGGTATCCAATGGTCCGTGATTCTGTGCTAGAATGCACTGATGGGCCTTTGCAGTAATCGACTCTCTTTCTTCTAAGCCTTGCGACTCACTAGGTGAATGGGATTTATTGCTGGGGTCAAGAGTTGATGTTCGTGCGCACAGTCTGACCTTAAATTTAAGTTTTCGGTGGATTTAGGACAACAAAACATACAGTGTGATATAACCTTGCCTATTTATTCTGTAGCCGTGTAAACTAAGTAAAAATTCTTGGTAGTACATATGCTGCATTGCTGATTATATGGAACTATTTTCGACGCGTATACACAAAGTGACCTCTCAATCAGGAGTAAAGAATAAAGCAGGAAGTCGCGTAAACTCTCGTCCCAAGCGTGATCAAAACATAGGGTTTTGTAGATTGAGCGCACTAAACGCATTTATCTCTGTCGAAGAAAAATGTAATTTTAAGTAAATTGTATAGTGGAGAGCAATATATCAATAGTGAATTCTTTTCAACTTCAGTTCAACGTTGGAAACAGTTGGTAGGCGTTCAGCCCTAAGCCGAGGCACTCAGACGGCTTAGACGAAGACCTCAAGAACCAAGTTCAAATGGGATTTTGAAATTGATCGCAGCACAAACTGACCTTTTTGATGAGGAATAAAATAATAATAATAAACCACAATGTACATAATAAAAAACAATCATAATTCATTAACCACTTAGTAAAAATTACTTAAAACTATGCGCAAAACCATACAAGTTTTGAAATACGTTGTGCTGCCCCTGGAATCATGTAAAGAAGTCTTCACGAACCCCATATGTTCAATGTACGTGTGGGTGGGTGGGGAGAGTCAATTTATAATGACAATAAACAGCAACACTTTTTTGTTTGTTTGCAGTATATTATATGAAGACAATGGCTTTCTGACAGTTGATGAATTCAAGTTTTCAGTGTATATGACGATACTCTGTATTGATCAGCATTAATTAATACATGTATTAATTACAATTATGTAACTGTTCTTGTACTAATACGTGTACAATGTACGTTAACAAGTTATGATTGAGTCCCATTTCCTTCATTTAAAGTACTTATTACAAATGAATACATATATTTGTAAACATCATAGCTTAATTTCTTGCAAATTACATATATATATATTGTATGTACTAGTATATTACATACATGTATGTAGCTACTAATACATGTACTAAGTTAAAATGCTTGTAAAGAATCAATGTTTGCATCAAATTTAATTGCTGCTCTCAGAGCAACTAGGCAGTAAAGCTAACAAAAGTACAGACAGAATGTAATTAATAGAATGAAGCAAAAATGTCTCCAGCTGCAAGCATCTAGTTCTAACTTGATCTTTACATATAATGGTAATTCACATACACGGTGTTTGTTCAAACAACAATATTAATACAAGGCCAAAGTATTACAATAATTATGCTAATTTCAGTTAAGATTGTCTTGCTGTAAAAAAGCCAATCTTGTTCATACAGTCTACAACATATAAATAGGTCTTTTTATGCTTCAGCTGCTTGAAACTTAAACAACTCAAAAATGTATAAATTGTTGAGAAGAAAGTGGTGACACAAAAGTTAAGCTGATTGTCACCTTGAGGTAGGTCAATGTCCTCTACCTGCTCACTAAGTAACATGGGAACATACCATAATGTATTTTCAACAAAATTTAATTAATAATTAAAATTGTGTCTGTGTCTCAGTGTCTGTTTCTTTACATCTTATGGTGACAATGACTAGTTTGGTAACCATATAAAAGCATTTACGGGATGCCTTATGTATGTCAGTGAATAAATTTGTCTAAAATTCAAATAACTTGTTTAAAGATTAATGTCTTTCATTCTTGATTTTTTCCTTCCTCTTTTAAAAAAAGCATACATAGGTATAAATTGTAGACATTTTGAAGGAAAACCTCAAAATAGAAAAAGAAAAACTGCAGTGGAACTCCTTGCACAATATATTAATTCCATTACACATACACAATTTAATAAAAACAATATATTCCTTCACAATATAACAAAGATGCCTATTCAATATAACAAGGAGGATTTCATAAATGATTTAAATTTAATTAATAATAAAGAGGAATTTCATATTAATATGTGTCAAATGAAAATTTATCTTGAAAATCAGTTACTTGGTTTCAAATAAAGATTGTAAAAGCAGCTTCTACCATTCATAATAGCATCTTCTTACTGGGCTTATATAATGTTTTAAGCATTATTAAGAAAAGCTGATAGTCCTTCAGAAGTTTTAGAATGCTGATCAATTTTTCCCCCTGGAATGTGGTGAATTGTCTCTTATTTGATATTATCGGTCTGGTGCTACTGACTAATTGACTTGCATTTCGTATTTGCAGAACCCAGGACCATTGGCAGGTTCAGCATTCAAACCTCTCCTAGAAGAAACATGTAAAACATTATAATTTACAGTTACTTTTATACATGTTTTATACATATTTATTATTTTTAAAATGTTTCTTTCATCTGTACTAAAAAACAAACTACTAGGAAAACGATCCTTTGCAATGGGTTCACTGCGTTTTTTTCCAATACCAAACAAACTTAAATCTGTGATGCCAAGAATCTGTATGATTGAGGAACATTGATATATACATAAGTACTGCCCACTACAAGAAACACTGATAAGAGATTGGGTAATGACTGTGTGTGTGTGTGTGTGTGTGTACATACATGAGCAAGCATGCGTGATGCGTGCGTGTGCTCTTAGCCTGCCTTGCAGCTTAACTACATTCCTGCCCATATGCAAAATTACAGAGACAAAAAACTAGAAATCAGAAAATGGCTAAACAAAAAGACTTAATGTGCTAAAACATTTTGCTTTCACTATTAATACTAGATAATTAAATGGAGGTGAACAGAAAGAACATTTTTATTTGTATATATTTGAATCTTTGATATTGACAAATCTCTCCAACCTGAGCATCCTGCACCTGTGTTCTTCAATACGGGGTGCGGCCTCTGCAGTGTTGTTGTATTGCTTGGGACTCCACAGTCTCTCTGCTACAGCAGAAGCTCTGGGCCTGAAAAGACAAGGGAAATGTATAATGACAAGAAGCTTTCTAATTTCCAGATCAAGTTATGATTATTCTGATAATGTCAATGTTTCAGTGTACTTTTCTCTTTTTACTACAGGCACATCTTTCTTTAAAATTAAAAAATTGTACTTTTCTGATAACTAGCATCACTCCTCTAGACATATATGTACATGTGTAACATCGGTCCATGTTGATACTTGGCCTGTGATGGCTTATCTTGCTGACCTATGGTGTCTGTTTATTGTTTATCAAAAAATTGATTGAGATTTTATTGTAATCAACTGAGGATAAATATTTCAATATTGGACTAACGTTTTTAGAACACAGCAAAAGTGTACTGTACAAGACTTATACTAGCTTTGCCTTTTCAGAAAGTTCAAAGCAGAGATTGAAAAACTCACTGTTGACAAAAAATATGCATCAAACACAACAATTTTATTAAAATTATTGCCTTTAACAGCATAAGTTGCGGCTTCTAAAAGTACCTACCAGAGTCTAGATATGAGATTGGTTCCATCTACATACTCTCCCCACATACATGCTTCACCTCCAATAACAAGTTTCTTTTGAGCATCTGTGCCTACAAACAAACAAACAAACCAAAAAAAAAAGAATACTTCAAATTATAACTGAAAATGAAATATAGCAATGGCAATGTTGCTTTGATAATGACAGAAATGTATAAGAGAATTGTCAATTATCAAACTGCAAAATTATTTATTTAACTGTTTAAAAAAAAAAATGGCAGCTTCATTATTAATAATATAAAATACAAGTCAAGTTATGGATGAGTACATGTAAATCAAAATGTATAGAGAAGCATTAAATCTTATAATATAACAAATATATATATAAACACATTTCCTATATGAAATGATTATATTACAAATAAGAAAAAATAGAGAAATGGCAGAAAGAGAAACTGGTGGCTTTTTAGGAAACAGATAAGAAACAACAGTCAAAGGGAACAATTATGCAATTCAACATGTTTCTCTGGTAATAGGCAATTTCATAACATTATCCTTCAGACCCCCTGATTTTTCAATACAATGCTCTCATTATAATAGCTCGAGGTAGTGGTTATGAGCACACAATTTTTAGTATATCCAAATCAAACTTTTGACACCTAAGGCTCTCCATAGTAATACTGGAGTGTACTATTTCTCCAACTACAAAATACTACATATAGTAAAAAAAAAGTGTCAAAGAATTTCTCTCACAACTAAGAAAGGCGGGCATTAGAAATGATGAAATTAGAATTCCAAGAATGAATTATATAATAGATGGTTAATAGTAAGTGTTGTTAACTCAAACATAGAAGAGTTATTTAAAGAAAAAAAACATTCCACAAGCCAGCACACATTCATTAGAAAATAGCAATAGGAGAACCAACTGAAATAAGATACCAAGAAATGCAAATTTGCACTGAAGACAGAGTGTTAGACTTTCTGAGAAAATGACATGCATATAAGGAACTCAAGAAGCTCTTAAAAGAAAATCTTGCGAATTAATGATTTATGGGTGATAAATTATAAGCTTGAAAGAATCTAAAAGTATGGTAGTTTGAAATGAACATCTTTATTTTCTTTCTTTCTTTCTTCTTTTTTTTACAGCTTTGCTCTCCTGTTTTGTATTTGTGCAAGCTTCAGAACAAATGGTAAGATTATCTTTTATTTCCCATTTTTTTTTCAAAGTTAACAAAAGTAGCTAAAAAGGCCATCATATAATCTTGAGGGTGTTTTCTTTCCAAGAGGCAAACTGATATCAGATGTTTGTTATCATATACAGGATTTATCATTTAAACCACCTATATCATGTTTCAAATTAGCATACTGTACCGTGGCAATGAGGATTATCAAGCAATTTGTTTTCTGAATCTAGAAAATTGCAATTATTGGCAAAATTTCACAGAGATTATCCACTTCCATGAAATAAAATGTATAATCTTCTTATCCAATGAACCCTGTCCTTACCCTGAAAGTCGTGTGGGTCACATGCATAATATTTGGGCCAGTCTACACCGTAGGAAATATCATTTAGGTACCAGCAGGCAGAGAGAAGGGCCCTTAAATTCAGTCCAGTAACTTTGCTCAACTCTGCCTTGTAGGTGGCTGGATTGTGCCTGTCCTTCCATACCTCTACTACAGTATCAGGGTTCACCTAAACAGGCCCAGAATAATGACAGTCAGGCCCGTAGCCAGAAATTTCAAAAGGGGGGTTCTTTTTTTTTGAAAAAGTGGACCTTTTCCCATAAAAACTTCATGTACCTAGATCAAACTTTACCCAAAGTGGACCTTTTTCCAGCAAAAGGGGCAGTTTTTTCAACCCCCCCGACCCCCCCTGGCTACGGGCCTGATAATGGTGATAATAACAATGGTAAAACAACCTTCATTTTGCATTTTGTCTTCTGTGTAAGACGAGGAGGAGAAATGGGAATCCTCTTTTCTTTAAAAAAATGCTAGGTAAAATGCAGTATGGGGTTGAAGCTGTGAAGAAAAAAGCATTGTGATACGCTAAATAACACATAAAAAACAGGTCAACTTGTGAGAATCGCAGCATGAACAGTTTGCTAAAAAAAAGCCTACTTGTGAACTAGATGCATTCTTTTCAGTTTTGTTAAGTGTGCAAAAACCTTTCTGATAAGCATTTTATTATCTATGAACTGGAATATTGCTTTCATATTTTTTCTTTGAGAACTCAAACTCAAAGTTTATGACAATGCAAAATATTTGAAAAAGGGACTTTTAACAGCAATATGTGACAATTTCCATTCTCCTTCCCTGATGTTTTAAATTCTATGCATATATGGGGTATATATTAGTTTGCTTCCTCTTTGTAAGTGTCTGGCAAATGGCTTTGGTAAAAGTGCACACTGGTATATTACATGTATTAGTCCCCAACACAGAGTATAAGTATCATTGTTAGTAGATGTTTAAAACCAAACAAAAAAATCCAAACTGTTCCAGATAAGAAAAATCCAAACTATAGATAATAATCTATAAAATAATTCAAACAATTAAAACTTAAACCACAGTCTTGCAAGTCTTTAGAGAAGGGAGAGAGGCACACAAAGAGTGAAATTTTTTTTTTTTTTAATTTTCAGTCAATTCCTACAGAAACCTTCCCATGAGAGTATTGCTGCGCCATATCTTAACTTACCATTAAAATTGTGGGGGTCTGGCCTATAGTACTTGGGCCAGTCAGTTCCATAGGATATGTAATCAAGATACCAAGGAGAGGCCAAGATAGTCCTTAGTCCTATTTGAGTCACTTTGCTCATTTCGGCAGGATAACCACCTTTCCAAACCTCCACCACTGTATCAGGACGTACCTAAGCACACATGTATACATTTACCATACCCAGCTCTATTAAGACTGAAATTTTACTCCTGTTTTGTTGTTATTGATACAGTAATGGATAATATGATATGCAAAAATATTTGAAATGGTGAAAGTGTATTTAAATGGGACTTAAATTTTGAAAGAAACTGGCACAAACATTGTGGTGAGATGCTTCATATTTTCATTCATTGAATATCACCGATTTTGAAAACATTAACCGAATAAAACCTCACATTTCCATTTATCACTGCTATAAAGAAAGATGATATTCAATAATTCTTTATATGTAAAATCTAACAAGGCAGCAAAGCTGTCAAATGTACAGACAAAAACACAAAATAAAAATGCAGAAAATTGTTCATTTTGTGAATTTTGATGCCTACAATAGCACTGTCAATCAACACTGAAATTTAATCATGCACAACAGGTGACATTGTCAATAACAGGAACTGATCCAGAGATATTTTCTGACAGTATTCCAAATTATCTTTGTTGATCCATCCTACATTTTTGATGGTCTTCCAACAGAAAAAAGAGATACCCATCAATGTGAACNATCAGTTCTGTAAGTTTCAAGCCAAAAGGTAAAATGGTTTTCCACTTATCGTGTTATCAGTGCTGTATATATGCTGAAATAAAAAGTGAAAAAACAGCATAAATTCCCTAAAAATGACTCAATCATGCTGATTTTCGAACTTGACCTGCGTGTTATGAATATTCATCAGTTCTGTAAGTATCAAGTCAAAAGGTAAAATGGTTTTCCACTTATCGTGTTATCGGTAAAAGTGCACGGCGACGGCGACGACGGTAACGACAGCGACAACGGCAACGACGGCGACGACAGACGCAGATGACGGCTATATGTATGTGTCTATATGTATGTGTCTGTACATAAAAATTATGATTTTGTCATTGGTAATATTCAATTACAATCTGACACACTTTTTTTCCTTTTCCTAACTGTTCCCCCTATCCTCTAAAACACACATTTTGCAAATGGTTTTTGAAGTTTTTTATGGCCTCTACCTAAGATACTGGTCAATCACTTCTCTAACTTAACAAAGACCCCAGCAGAACCAACAGCCCTTTGCCTTAAACAACACCAAAGAAGCTAATCCACTGATTTTTTGATGACCTTTACCACAAATTCAACACCACGTTAACCAGAAACATTCTTCAACTAAATATATTAATGACGCAACTTCCATAGCATCAAGATTTTCATGTTGCCCAAAAATGCTCAAGTGTTTCAAATGCACACATATCACTACAAGAAGACAATATTAAGGATGGTTATCTTTGTTGACTATATGGTAAATATAAACAGCATTCAGGCCCTGACCATGACCCACCTCTACCTTGATCCAAAGGTTAACTACCCACTATAAATATTGGCAAATAATTTTTTTTCTCGATCTTCACGTAGATTTCATTTTTATTTATTGATCTCTAACACCTTAAACCATTACCTGCTGCCTGCCTTTGAAAAAAAGAAGGTGTATGGAGTAAAAAAAAAAGAAAGGTTTTTAGTACTTTCAGCAACAATGTGAAAATATCACTTCTTCTTTAAAAGAACACCAACAGAAAGCCAGCCACCAGAGTCCTGCCATCCAAATCTCTTGTTTAACTTACCATTAAAATTGTGCGGATCATTTATATAGTACTTGGGCCAGTCAGGACCATAGGATATATAGTTAAGGTACCAGGGTGAGGACAAGATAGTCCTAAGTCCCATCTGAGTCACTTTACTCATTTCAGCCTGGAAGCCCCCTTTCCATACCTCCACCACTGTATCAGGACGTACCTAAGCACACACATACATTTATCACACTAAGCTCTTTAAGTTATAAAGAGCAATCTTTCAGCTGAAATTTCATTCATTTTTATTTTTTGTTTGGCAAATACAGTTGAAAGATTATCACAACATGTAACTACCGTACCAGTACACTATATCCCCTTATTAAATCAAGCTACCAAATAAATACCAATATTTATTCAGGAAGACTAATTTTTTTGTATCTTCCTGTCTCTCATCTCATTCACCAAACGAGAAGCTTGGTCAAATTGTACTAATCATTGCATTCATTTTTTCTATGGTCAAAATCAAAATTCAATATTTTAGCAAAATTTGAATTTCTGATGACTGTTCAGTTAAATATCAAGATTAACTATTATAATGCTGATTACATCCAGTGACTAAAAAATCCAATTAATTTAATGACAAAAAATTTTAACCACATACCAATTCATACATCAAAAGCATCCATCAATTACTGCAATATTTAATGAAGATAGTAATTTTGTAAAGTTTAACATACTAATTAAGCAAAAGGGCTTTCATAGGATATATGTCTGCCAAAGGAAAAAAAAAAAGACAAGAAAAATTAAAATGTCAAGAAGATGGTCATTTAACTTTTGAGAGGGAGGAGGGTGGGCTAATGCACTTCAATGTTACAGATAAACTTCTTACACATGGCTGAAATCAGATGGCCTTCTAATTAAAATTATTTAATCTTTTATTATCCTTTAAAAAGGATGCGACTACATATTTGGATACATGACTGAAATATATGTTTTTCCTTCCACTGTGGTAACATTTGACTTCACATCTGATCACAACTGCTAAAAACATTTTACTGATGAGACATGATTGATGTCTGATTTAGATTAAATTTTTTTCTAAAAAATAAATCTAATCTTAAATTAAATCAAACAAATATATAGATAGATTCCACATATGGTTTTACCTGTCTGCTCTGCCTCTGTGTTTTACTATTAAAATTAACTAAACTGCCACCACATTTAATCTTTAATATATTTTTTGTCATTTATTAAACAGAATAATATGAAAGTTACATCTCTTTCAAATCAAATATTTCATTTTGCCAAAATATTTTAAAGATAGTTTACTTTTTCCATACAAAGACATCATAGCATGTAAAATAAAAACTGGTGGCATGTGTAGACCGATGGCAGATGTGGCATATCCTACATATCCTGTATATCCTACATATATTATATATCCTACCTTGACTCCATTGTCCACTACTTCCTGCCATATCACATACCCATCCTGGTCCGAGGACACAATGTTCAAGATACTGGAAATGTAAGAAAAGCCATGTAAGTGTCTATCACAATCATCTATTTTTGTTTTGCTTATCTAATAAACTAGGGACATCATTTCATCCAAATTATCAGTCAGAGAAGACAAACTGGTGTCTTACTTATACCTACTTTTAGAGAATTTTTTTTTTGTATAATTTTAAATTGTTGTAATATATGTATACGTTTGAGCCATCTTGCAAAAATTAAATTTCTTACATGGTTTGCATGGTATGATGTATTACAAAAGTAATCTTTATAACTTTTGAGTATTGCTGACAAGTGTTTTTATGCTTCTGCAGTGAAATAAATATAAGAAGAATAAGCAGAATTTTCCCTTCGGTCTATACTCATCTTGTGCCTGGTTAACTCACTTTTGCATATAGTATTGCTCCAATTTTGAGTAGTCTGTTCCATATCCCATCTTCTGCATGAACTGGGTAACAGCTGGGTTACTTTTCCTGTGAAAATAATTTCAATTTGGCTTTTTTTGATTAAATATATACATTTTCAATTCTTCAAATCTTCAGGTTATTAGAAATAGGTCTAAGTATAAACCAGATGTGGTTAAAATAGTTTACGGTAAAATCAATGATTTTGATAGTAACAATTTATCATTTTTAATTTTCTTTCTTAACCTTTAACCTGCCATACTGACCAGCAGTCAAATGACACCTCATCACCTCCTAGGTGGACATATTTGTCTGGGAACACCTTAGTCCATTCCATGACAATCACTTTCAGGAAATCGTAAGTACTGTTCTTTGTGGGATCAATGGGACCATAGGAGCCATCAGGCTGCCCACTCTTGTAACATGGGGTCAACAGACCTGGAATGGCCGGGCCCCAAGACTCACTGTGTCCTGAAAAACGACTTTCCCTTTGAGTTTAAATTTTTGAGTTTAAAAAAAATGTCAATCAAAATAGCAAACTAATGTTTTTTGTAAGTCTGAGCGAAAAATTCCATAGGATTATTTCTTGTTTTGGTGATGATAGTGGTAGTGATGAAGAGAGGAATAAGGGTGGGGTGAGGTGGGGTGAAGTGGGGTGGAGTGGGTTGTAGAGGTGAAGCTGGTCATCTATAATCACTTACCAGGTGTGTCAAATTCAGGTATCACTCTGATTCCTCTCTGCCTGGCATACTCAATTATCTCAGCCACGTCCTGCTGGCTGTACACATGGGTGTGAGGGTCATATGCTCCCTGTAATAGTCACCAAACAAGAAATTATGTCATGGTCCCAGTTCATGCAAAACTTGGGTCAGTTGGCTTTGCTAAATCTGCTATATCTGCTAAACTCAAACAGACAGCTTACGTCAACTAAGTTAAAGTGGTCTTGGATTTTTGTGATTTATTCGACCACTAAAAGGGATCAATACATGAGGATTTTTTTCTTATCCATTTAAGTAATGTGAACATTAACATTGTCATATTATAAAATAATGCTGCCACATCAAAAATATATCGGGCTGAATTTGCTTATTTGAGCTGATGACAAAAAGGCAGAGTTTTTGGGGAGGGAAATAAATATTACATTCAAAGAGGCCTCCCTTACCCCAACAGCTATCAACACCCTTTCAACACCTATATAATCACAACAATAAGTACCAGTACTGCAACTTGGGACCAGGAAGTTTTCTTAGAAGGCTTACTTCTGAATTCATTTTTACACACAATGACTGATATCATGAATACTAATTGAGACCTTAAAGCCAAGTAAGTTAAAGTATTCCAGACAGTGACAGTAAAATGTTATGTAGTTGAATGGTGTTTTTATAGTTCACCCTTATTATGCTGTCTGCAAAACAGATATTCCCCAGGCACTACATGCCCTTGAAACAGGTAACAAACACAAAATGCATAAAAATCAACACAATAAAACTAATAAAAGATAAAACATATTTTACTCACCAAATTACTTAGTTCTGGAAAGTGTCTGCTTTGATATGGAAAGGACTGGTCATCGACTATGTGCCAGTGAAACACATTGTATTTGTTGTAGGCCATGGCATCCTAGAAAATATTAGAGAGAAAGAAAAAACTGGCAAAGATGATTTAAAACAATTACTTCTTATACAAGGGTATTTCCTTTATTTCATAAAATGTATATCATGTCCTATGAAAAATTAAAATGATAATTGTGTTTAGATATAAAACTTGGTCATTATAAGGTCCATCTTATATTCAGCAGCCTATCCACATGCTGTAGGCCTATGGTTATATCCCATTCTGATCATTTTGCTGTTTTAGGAGTTTACAAAGTTTGCCCTAATTTATTCAGTTCTCAGATTTAATTTTACTCACATAAAATATTTATCATGTTATGCAATGATTAACACAATACTTCACAACAGCTTAAAACTTAAAGAGGAAGTGTTTGCCAAATGTTTTCACTTTTCACCTTTGTATCTATGTTATTAATACCCATTATCTTATCATATATCAATATTTATTGTACAAAATTAAAAAGAATTAAAATTCTTATCCAGTTGTCAAACATAACATATGATTCACATGCTTTTCAATGTGATAGTAAAGCCCTGATGACTGATGCTAATAAAATACATGAAATTAAATTTTTATCAACAGATACATGGAAAAATTAAGCAAATATCCATTTCATATCTAAATAGCCATTTCATCACCAAACCAAATCACATTTGATCTTTTTTTAACCTGATAAGAAAACAAAATGCTAACATGTCTAACAAAGTTTTGACAATGTTGCCCAAATAATAAATTGAGCTTCCAAACACCTGACATGATTTGTAATTGTAGTGCACACACTTTAAAATTATTCAAAGAAACTGTAAAACAGAGTTAAGATAACCTGTATGAGTGTAAAGGCACACTGCATTCTTTTACAATGACAGAATCACAGAGTGGAAATGCAACTAATGCACAACCTATGATAAGGGAAGAAAACTGGGTCTAAGGATGTTTTTGTGTTTTTACATTAATTATATTTTTTCATGCCTATGCTATCCCTTTCAAGATATATGGATCCAGGCATTTCCAACGAAATTATATAAATGTTTAACAAAAAATGCAGAAATTTTATAATAATAATAAGAGCTCATTTATGTAAGTTGTGAATTTTATGAAAAAAAAAGAAGAATGAAACATACACTGTGTACACAATATATGTTTCATTAAAACTAGTGCAAGAAAACAGAACTGCTGAACCTTATTGTTGAATGTGCAAACTACTACCCACTGCCAATGTTCATGGGCTTAAAATTACAGCTTAAGGTCAGGTATATGTACAATGTAACTGCATGAGATAACAAATAAGGGCATAATTGGTGGGCATTCAACATTTTACAGTTTAAGCTGTGAAAACTGATAAATACAGTTAATATGATATGCTCTTGAAAAATTACCGATAAGCCAACAATCATTTATAGCCTAAATGGGGCTGTGGGTGCCTGGACCTTTGAAGACGCCCACCATCATGTGACTGTTTATCATCCCTTCATAAAGCTGGACAAAAATGTTTTGCACTGAATCTGATATAAGCTAAGTTCTTAATGTGAGGGCCTTTTTTCTTTTCTTTTTTTAATATGCATTTGCACACAATGTTATAAATGAATACATTAAATGAAGAACCTAACATATTTAATGCATAAAGAGAAAACTATATTCAGTGTAAAGAATTACATAAAACTTATGGGAACATGTTGTGCCTTATATGTGATGATGGTTGCACTTACCAGATTTTGCAGAAGAATCTTTTTTGGAACAAAATGCCTTGAAGTATCAATAAGAAGTCCACGATGAGAAAATCTTGGGTAATCTTCTATCTTGGTATCATTGATAGTGAACTAAAATGATGCAAAAATATCCCACTGAAGTAAAACAGTTCAGGTATAATTAAAATTTACAGCATATATTTGCAAAGTGCTTTTACTGAATCATTTTAATACTTTGTGAAAATTTTAATTTAAAAAGTACTAGTATATATATATATACCAGTATATATATATATCCCATAAGAAGAAAAACATAACATAAAATGTTTTTTTGTGTTATATTTCTCAGCTGCATGATTAGACTATCATCTTACCGTTCCATCAGGAGTTTGGTAAACAAGCTGACTAAAAGTTTCTAGACCCCTCAAAGCACCCCAAATACTGCGAGCAGTGAGGATAGCACCATCACTCTTCACAAACAGCTGATCTGTAAAATGCACCAATGGAAATATGCTCAGATATGAGAAAATGTTGTATCTGCTTCTTTGTTCCCCTTATCATGAGTTGCTAGAGGATATTATACCATGCAGTTTCTTGTAAAAAATAATAAATAAATAATAATAATAATATTAAAAATTTGCAAGTCTATTGGTATTAAAATTTTGGTTTGTTGATCCGCACGTTACATAACAGGGAAACTTTTCTTTTTGCTTATACTAAAAGTCTATTGGTAATGGTATTGAACTTTTGGTTTGTTGATCCACACGTTACATAATAGGGAAAATTTTCCTTTTGCTTATACTAAAACACTGTATGTAGCCTTTTAGGATATATATTCTGAATTTCAATTTCAAAGCTTTACAGTGCTGGTCTACTAAACTGATATCAGTTGAAGACAGGCCACAAAAATCCCAAAATTTCCTCTTACACAAAACAACAACTAACGCTAATTTTTATACATACACCACTCGTCCATATCCAAAGATGGGTAAATTTCACAGTCGTTTTCCAAATTAACATTTAGATATGGCAGCTCTGTGCCAACAGTCAGTTTAGATTTACTAATAGGCTTGAATCGTAACGCATCATTTTGTCGGCCAGGGTAGAAGATCACGTTGTAATATCGAGTCATAGCAGCCACAAGTGTATCGCAAGTTTTCCCTGTGGGGTTGATTTTAAAGGAATCACTGTTCAACGTGTACGTCGTCGGTGTGGGAATGTAAAGCTGTGGAATAGGCCACGGCTTCCCTTCGGACGATGCCACGGATTTTAGCGTTGTTTTGTATCCACGCTGAACATTACTGTAGCAAGCTGTCAGTAATAGCAATGCAGAAACGATCAACAGTTCTAGCTTCCCAACTACCGCCATCTTCAGATATCCGAGAGTAACCTCGCACCTGCTGGCTGGAACGTAAAAAAGTCACATGACAAGTCACATGAGTTGTTAAGTGCTACTCTTGAAAGTCCCAACCTGGCAATTATGTTTTTATGAGTTAAACCAGTTAAACCAGTTAGATAGTAAAATCGTCTGCTTAAGCTCCCGAAATATTACACGCGATATTTACTCTATGTTCGGGTGTGTTGGTGTTTACATTTTACAGCGTGCGGTTGAGACTATGCGTGACCTAGTTATTTACACGTGAGTTAGTGAAAGGAGTAAATGCAGAATGGATTGGGACCAAGTTACAGGTTTTTCAGACTGGTTAAAGGTATTGGACTGGGCTTTGAAACGAACTAAGTGCAATGGAACGTGGCCAGGCTTCAAAGCACTTAATTCAGAAGAGGAAAAAGTACATTTTTGTTTGAAAAACCGCATACTTGAGTACGTCAACCATCCTCTCACCCAAACGCACAAACTTACTCCAGTAGGGCCCTTGCCTCAGTTTTCGGCCTTACAAGCTCACAGTGAGGCCGAAAACTGAGCCAAGTAGGGCCTACAAGTATTATTTCTTATTAAGCTAGAGACTCGAACTTTTACACACAGATAGCTATACACTTAGTGTGAATAAACCGTTTAAATTTAAAATCATTTAGATGAAAAAATATGTAAGTTTTACTTACACCAAGGAGTTACAACAGTTATAACTCCTTGCTTACACTATGTCTTTGATTTTTTTTTTTTTTTACATCACTTTTAAAAGTGAGTCAAAAGTTGTCCTGCTTGATGTTCACCCCCTAAATAATGCCATGGGAACTTAAATTTGTTTCACAATAAATAAAGATCGAAGCTAGCCTTGAACACAGTTTAAATTTTGATGCTAGTATTTTCCATATATAGTGGTCAAAGTGAAAAAATATTGGGACATAGGTGAAAACTGTATATGGGGAATGTAAATTGATACAATGTATCTTCCAAAGCATGTGAAGTAGAACTTGACCACCATTTGCTGAATGGGGAACGAGTTGGGGGAGGGGTAACAATTAAGTCTTAAAAAATAAAAATTTTCCCAAATTCCCCAAAAATCTGACATGCTTGGAATAACTTAGTCCTTGTTCTAAAACATATAGCATGTATTTTGTCTTGCCGCCAACTTTTTTGAAAAGTTCAATTTAGGTTTCCCTTTCAAAACTTTAATTTAAAACAACTGGCGCCACCTGTTATCATCTGTACTCCCCAAGTCCCAGCTAGTCTCCATTATAAAGCTTTAATCAAAGGCCCCATTTCCATTTATACCATCAGTCTACGTGGATCGACCCTACTGTGAGGGAACTCTCGCTGAATGCAATCGGCTTACCTGAATGACACACCTCCTCCTGGCATTAATTAGAATGCAGAAAAGTTCATTATACAAGTATGTTTGAAACAAGAGGAGGGGTGTCATTCAGTTAAGCTTATTGGATTTAGTGAGAGTTGAGTTGATCCACATCAGCTGATGGTGTTTTTGGGAATGGGATCAAACTAAGCCATCTTCAGTGTTCTAAACTGAACACTACAGTCTAAACACGTGTCTCATCCAGTAATGAATTATAACAACTTACCTGATAAAGAAATTCAGCTCTTGTTCGAAGTTTATAACACTTTCTGTTTTTGCCAAAAAAATATCAGTAGAATTCTGCTTTTGCCTGTCATGTGTGTATTATGGGCAAATGTCAATTAATTATGTTACAATGTATCAGACAGGTGCCATGGATTGAGCCTTACTTTGATCAGGCTTCATCAGACCAGAAAGCAGAAAAGTTGACTGCCAAGTCAAGAGCATACCGCGAAGAAGGTAACTTGAAATTCAAGCATAAGATTTATGCTGATGCTTTGCACTTATATAAAAAGGTAAGTTAGACTAGGTCTTAAGTCAGGCTGTTAAATGGATTTTAAATTCTTAATGCTTTTTTCTAGATATTTTGCTGCACGTTGATAACTGTGATAAAATATGTTCACCCATTATTAAAATATCTTATCTATCAAATTTTTTACATTGAGTGACCCTGTCATTGATACAGTCTCACACATCCACAGCATTCACTTTGTACCAATGGGGGGTTACTCTCTGATAGTCACTCTACATGTCTCAGTACATTATTTCTTTAAGTATCATAATGCGGTTTTATCTTGTTAATGTGCCTAAGGCTGTATTCCCAGAGCTTTTAGATCGATCTATCCCCGCGGGGAGTCTTACTAGATTACTGTCAGATAATCCGGCTTAAATGTCCGTCCCGCCTACTACAAACTGTAAGGGGGTAATTAACTTTCGTGTCCACCCGGCTGACAGCTATTTAGCGTGAAACCCCAGGGAGTTAGGTCGATCTTAAGTAGATCGATCTAATCTCTGGAAATGGGGTCTAAGGGTGTATTCCCAGAGATTTAAATCAATCCAGGGATTAAGATTTAGATTGACCTAATTCCCTGGGGGTTCACGCTAAATTGCAGTCAGCGGAGCACGCACCATAGTTAATTACCCCCTTACAGCTTTCAGTAGGCGGGACAGACGCTTAAGCCGGCTAAGCTGACAGTAATCTAGTGAGACTCCCCACAGGGATAGATGGATCTAAAATCTAAGACCTCATTCCCATCAGACCCATCAGTATACTTAGTATATGGATTGACCAAACTCTACAGAGACTTGCTAACTGCAATCAGCTTAACTGAATGGCATGCCTCCTCATGTTTCCAATGTACTCATTAAATCATCAGTACAGCTTTCTGTATTCTACTTAACACCAGGAAGAGGCTTGTCATTCAGTTAAGGTAATTATAGTCATCAAGAGTCTCCCCAGAGTTGGGTTAATCCACTATACTGATGGTGTCTATGGGAATGTGGCTTAAATAAGCTGCTGGCACATACCCATGAGGTCTATACATCTTTTGATCCTCTGTATACTTCTATTTCAGAGTATCCAATATGCCCCCAGCAACAAATCCAGTCCCGAGTTGGCCCTGGGTTATGCCAATAGGTCTGCAGTTTTATACCACATGGGAAAGTATGAGGTTAGAAAACCTACAACTGTCAACTGACCATGCTGCTGACCAGTGGCGTGCAAACCAGGGGATTTTTATAAAAATTTGACTAGAAATTTATTCCAAAAGTTCGATCTATCAATTTTTCGACACCCGAAAGATATATTCTGTTGGTAAAATGACGTGAAATCTGGCCCAAACTGCTATCAAACTGTTATCAATGTCATAATCAAAGTATGTTTTTTAACTTTGCTCATATACAGTAGCAAGACCAACATATTTTAGTAGATATGTTAAAAAAAACACATTAGTTTGGTGACTGAAAAATGAGATGATTTGACCTGTGGTCATTTTGGTTATATTCATTCTAGTATGAACATTGAAAGTTGATATCTCTGGTGCAAGCAAGTTTTTTATTATTTTTGATTATTTTTCAGGCCTGCCTAAATGATATCAACCGAGCTTTGGACAATGGTTACCCACAGAATCTTATATATAAATTGCTTTACAGGAAGGCACAATGTCATTGTGCATTAAATAGAAAACTTGAAGCACAGACAGGTAATTAAAGACTTGTTTTTAGATTAGTTATATTTTCTATTATCATTTTCTTCCTCTTGTGTTAGAATCTTTTGGGTAACCACATAATTATTTAAGAGTGTTAATTGACAGCCTAATTGCTGGGTAAAACCATTCAAAATGTTTGATGTTTTTTTTTTTTAAATATCATTTACTTTTTAAAGAGAATAATAGATCAGCTTAATTGTCATACGCAGTTGGTTTTCCTCTTCAGCTATAGAAGCAACAAAAGAGGCAATAGCCAGCTTGGGTCCAAGTGAACTTACCTGTAAAAGAAAAGGTGATTTGCAAAAATGCATTTTGTCAAAGTGGATTTTTATGTGATATATAAAAATCAGTTTGAACTACATATTTTTACAGGTAAATGATTACTAGTTTAACAGATCTGAGAAATGAAACATCTTGACACTTATGTTTATAGCATAGTGTGGTATTACTTTCTTACAAATGCTCAGTTTTTTTATTCAGACACCATTGTGAATGACTTGTTGCTCTTAAACAAGAAAGTGGACAAGATTTCTGACTTGTGGTATGGGTTTGTGTTATATATGGTCTTTAGTTTATGAGTTAAATCAAAAAAATTTCAGACAGTTGTACACTTTTATTTCTCTTCTATTGTAAGTTATATTCAATCATAGTGGTCATAGAAAAGAGCTGAATAATGTGATACCACATTTGTGATGTAGGAGCAGTTAACAATGCAGCAACCGTTCATGCACTGTCACACCTAGCGTATAGCACTAACATACGAAAAATATCACAAACACGCGCAATGGATTTGTTAGACTTATGACGTATTTGCCTTGAGTATGAAAGCAAACATTGTGTGTTCACAAATCTGGACTGAGATAAAATGTTCTGAGCATGTTCAAAAACAATTTCGTATGCTGCTTATATCTTAAGACACTTGAAACGGTGATTTTGTATGCTCAAAGTTGTCGGTATAGTTGATATCACATACAATACCCATACATATTTCTTTATGCTAGCTGTGACAGTGCCTTCACTAGCGAATGTGTGCACATTGTATTATTCTATAAGTATATTTCAGTAATGGTTGTATATTATTATAACAATTTTTATTTAATTCTGTGAAATCATTTCTTTATAAATTAGGTAAAATCTGTAATATTTCCAGCTCTGCAGCACCACCTGTGTCTGAGTGGCTGCCATTAAGCCACGGACCAAATCCTGTTATCCTGCAAGCATCTGCTGCTGTAGGGTGGAAATACAATGAAAAACAGGGAAGATATTTGGTGGTGAGTTTGTCTTTCTTTATTACTAATATAGCCCAGGTGTTTATTTTTATAGCCAAGCAGGAAAGAATTCATTTGATTTTAAGATTGTTAGCATGCACATTCCTGATTTTTGAATGGATTTTCAATGTGCCCAAAATACAATTCTGCTCCCAAAAGCATTTGTCTATGCCTGCCACAATCAGATCAAGACTTCCTTGATTAACACTATCGTTTTAATACTAATTCACAGAATGTTTGGTATAATCCTATTTAAAGTAAGCTTTTAGTAGTAATACATATGCTTTGAGAATTGCATTTTTCACATTAAATAAATTCATACTATCTTCAAATGTGCACTTCCTGAGCTTGGCCTACCAATACACTTTGTAACAATATGGATCATTTTCCACATTCCATTTCAAATTTGTTTTTAGCCACAAATGCATACAAAATATATCCCCTTCCTTTTTGTGCTTGTTGTGAAAAGTCCATAAAACTACTGCTACTTGAATCACTATTTTCTTTTCTATTTTTTTCAAATTTACATTCATTTCAAGTACTCTACATTCCTTAAAATTGTTTTTTCAACTAGTTTCAGAAACTTTCACAGGGTAGAAGCAAACTATCAGATAATGATCTGACACTAACAACAATAAATTCACCTCTCATTAATGCTGTTATATTTACCTGGTATCACATATTACTCTGTACTAATTTGTTATTTCTAAAAAATGTAGGTATTTTCTCTCTAATATTTCAGCTGAATGCTTCACTGTTATTCCCTCACTAATGGCTTGTTCTAAGGACTTTGCAGCTACTGTGACTGTTCTTTTGGCATCACTCCTTTCTTTTATTTTTAAACGTATCCTGGTCCATGGCTTTTGTGGTGAGCTAGCTTTACTTTGGTAAAAACGCTCATAAGTACAGCAACATCATCATAGGTACACTCATATCATTATAAAAGTATACTCGACACCATATTTTAGAATAGTACAATAAAAGCTTCACCAATTCATCATAGTTGAATTTGTAAGAGTAAATTTATGTAGTATAAGTGCAGGGGGAAGATGACAAAAGATGACAAATTATCAGGACATTCCATATTTTGCGATTTCTAGGATATAAACACTACTGCTACACTGAACTTCAAGTCACAAATTTATTATAATGTTGCATAAAACTCTCAACAACTTTAAAACTTTAACATGCATGAATGTTGTTAAGTTAAAAACTAAAAGTTATCAGACTTTGTAAATGTCTGACTATACTGACACCTAAGTTATCAGTCAGTAATATTCACTGTCTGTATGTGAACTCCACATCACGACAGTATACACAATAAAGTATACACCAGAACTATGTTTTCTGCAGTTTATTTTTCTTCTCTTCCCAAACATTCTGTGTACATTTCTTAGGAGATAGATGATCTGTGCATCCATTACAAACAGGGTAATGACCATCTTCAGTGACTAGATTGTTTGCTATTCCACAGAAAAAAAAAACAGATTTGTGGAAAACTCTTCGAGCTGAAGTGAGGAATTTCAATATTACTATATGACGATCAAGATTTGCCCTAACAAAAACCCTTTTCAACAGTGCAGATATTTTGGGTACTCTAGTGGGATCTTCTGGTATGAGATCCTGTAACACACTGAAACATGAATATTGGTACAGATCTAACACCTGGTGTAAAAGATCAAATTCTTGATCTTGTGGTCTCTCGCAGTCAACACAGTCCACACATCTTGCACGCTCGAGCAGTCTGTGCACTGGGTGAAAAAGGGATCCAGTGGCCTGCATGAGCAGTAACAGATTTGTAGGGTTTCTTCAAAGACGACATATGTTCTTCTGTGGTTTGGGTACCAAACACTTCATCAAAGCTTCGGTAATGACCATCATCACCTATCTAGAATCAAACATTTTTGTAAAAAACAGACATGAATAAAACATATGTTTTAATTAAAAAATTTATACACAAATAATCCAGTTTCTTATTAAAACAATGTTCTAAAACAATAACAAAATTGGATATTGAACATGGTCCTGATGATCAGAAGAAGCCTAACAGAACTGGGATGTGAAATGCACGTTCTCTTAAAGTTTTCAGGCTTGGGTCAATGAACCATAAGCTATTTGTCAATGCATGCGTGATGTTTTTCCCAGTTTCCATGTTCTGGGGAGTGAAACCCAAGCCAGCTTTTTCCAACATCTCCCTCACTTTATTAAACAAAACGAGTTTATTTTTCACTACTATGTGGTCTTCTGCATAGGCGTCCAGGAGAGACAACTTGCGGTTAGCTGCAAGAAACACGTCAAACGCGTTGAGTTTTCTCACTGAGCCAGGTACAGATCATCAGTTTCGGTTTCAGGAATAGAATGAGGGCCAAATGTAGATCTTGATTCACCTGCAGAGGCCATATTGGTACAAAATACTTAAAGACTTCATAAAGACATCTTTTCCAAACTCAAAATGTGCTTCCATGCATTTCCCACTTGCGCATGCACAAATCGTGATTCATTCAATGGGGTCAAATAAGTTGTCAAGTGAGGGTCATTCAAGTTTATTTATAGAAGAGAACTGCAGAAACCACTATGGATAGACATCCAAGAAGTTTTGCTTTTTCCCAAAAAGTTTGATTTAATTTTCTGTAGTGCACCTTTTTTAAATAGCTAAAGTGTCTTTGCTGTTCATATAAGTAAATAAATAAATCTTCTAGCTAGTGGTAATACAAGTTAATGAGGATTTTACAATGTGTGATTAAGTGTTTCACGGAATGCAACTTCACGTGTACAATGCCATGCTGTCAAATCTCTTTTTCTGCTAACTTTTAGTCAACGGCAAACTAACAATCATTTTATAACAAGAAAGTTTGTTTTTCAACACTAGGTGTTGGTAGTTTGGGCTCAGGAACACTATCTTTGGTTTCAAACACCATATTAAGATCTTTTATCTTTTTACTCCTGTGTAAAATGTCTCTAAGTTCCCTGGTCAGAAGGAAAAAGTCAATGGATGCATAGTAGAGCAATTTGTATGATTTTCATCGCCTGAAAACTTATTGGGACTTGGTCTTAGATGAATGTGTGCATGTGTGTGTTTTTGTGTGTGTGTGTTTAATTATTATTATGCCTCTGGCCATTTGTGCACATACAAAATACATTTGTGCACTTTGAAGTTGACAGTACATCTCTTTGGTTTTAAAGGCAAACCAGTCAATTGCAGCAGGGGACACGCTGATTGTAGAGAAGCCATATGCAGCAGTTCTGTTACCAGACCAGTATGACACACACTGCCACCACTGCTTTACCAAACTGCTGGGTTCTGTGCCGTGAGTTAACCTGTACTGTGTGCCTTCTCCAAAACACTATACTGAAAAAAAATAACCACTTATAAATATTTGAATATTAAACAATACAAGTGTTGCAGTTTTGTTTGCTTTTGATCATTAACTCTAATTTAGCTTGATTTACCAGTACCATAAGTGTCAATTAAGGTACTTTTTAAAACTAGTTTTATGGAATACTTTCCAGTATTAAGTATTACTCATGTGGGGCTGTTTTTTTTAAAATTATAACAGCGTTCTTTTTTGTCAGTTTTGCTGCAAAATTTTCTCTTCATTACAGCTGTCAGCAATGTGTTGAAGTGCAGTATTGCTCTGAGGAGTGCAGAGATGCATCGTGGGACAGTTATCATTGTATTGAATGCCCTTACTTGGAGATAATGCACTCTGTAAGATGAAACATTCTTTCTTATTTTTTCTACGAAGTAAAAAATGTTGACTTGTTTTTTGATAATTTATTAGTATTAGAGTGCTGTAATCTGTCCAATTAAAGAAAGTATAGAAATTATCAGCCAAGGAAATAATCAAATTGTGTATTATTTAGTCTGGGTGTTGATGTTAAAAGTGGTCAAAGGGAGTAGCAGTATAAGAAAAAGTGAAGTTTTTCACCTTTCTTACATTTATATATGTGTTTCCTCCTTTCTCTGTAGATTGGCATAGGACATCTTAGTTTTAGAGTGGTACTGGTTAGTGGACTGCAAAAACTGTTAGGTAGGTGTAAAATTTTGTTGGATTATTATTGGAATCTACATATTTTAGCCCTGAAAATCCTTTAATGCATGTCTTTGAGGGCATACACAGACTGGTGAATCATGAACTGAAGTTGACAAATTTTACTCCTATAATCCACTACAATGATAATAACTGTTTTCATGTTACATATCAATCATTTTAGCATTCAGAAGATCAAGATCTCGCATCTGCAGTCCATCTGAAGCAGGACTATCAGAAAATGGTTCGTATGGCACTGACTATGAGACAGTGTACCATCTTATGACACACAGTGAACATATGCAGCCAGAGGACCTTTTTCATTATGCTTTGGTAAATATGATTTTCAGTTATTACACACACTGTCAAAATAATTTAATAAAAGGGGTAATTGTGCCACATCTGGAGAAAAGAAGTGTCAGATTTGGGTAGGAAGCTAACAATGACAAAATTTAAGTCTTTAACCTTTTTTGTAAAGCTTATAAAATCTCGATAAAGAAATATATTATTTTTTTTCTTTTTGAAAAAAACTTTCTATAAATTTTTGTTGTAAATTAAACTTTAACTTGAATGTTTCCAGACAGCGACTCTTTTGTTAAAATGTCTGAAGAAAAGCAATTTTTTCATGAAAGATGGCCAATCAAAAAATCTCTACAAAAACCAGACAAACCATGAAAATGTTGAAAGTCTTAGCACTCTGACATTGGAGAAAAGCATGAATGATTGCAGTGCATATTCTGCTAAAAATGAAGCAGATGGTCGTCCTGCTCAAGACTTAAGTAACACAAGGCAGGCCACTGAGATCACATCTGATGATGAAGTTTACATTGGTGGACTCTTATTAAGACATGTGCTTCAGCTGATATGTAATGCTCATGCCATAACAGAGCTTCAGACATCCTCCCTTTCAACAGAATCCTTAGTGGACAGCCTTAGTCAAGTGAGAATAGCAACAGCTATATACCCAACTGCCAGCCTTATGAACCACTCCTGTGATCCTACCATTATTTCAAGGTATATATTAAAATTGTTTGCTTACTTTAATAAACATTTGAATTAATATTATTTTTAATTAATATTGATTATTATTATTAATATTATTTGAATTAACATTGATTTCAATAGTCACACATGGTACACATGTGAACATTGTATAATGTGCATGTTTTTAAGTACAGGATAATTGATTTACAGCTTGTGGAAGATCTTCAAGTGGCCAGCTGAAAATTTCTTGACTTAATATTTTTTTATCATAGTATAAAAACTTCTGTGAAGAATTTTTGATGCATATCTTTACAATTACCATTGAATGCTAATTTTTACCACTGCACTTCAAGTTTTCAGAATGACATCTTGATAGTCAAAGCAACCAAAGATGTAGAAAAGGGCGAGGAGATATTTAACTGCTATGGTAAGAATCTGTTATTGAAATGTTCCAAATAGCTATATTCTATCACATAAGGGTACTAAATCTCCCATCTTTAAAATTATTGTAGTGTTTTTTTTTCTTATTATCCTCGTTGAATCCATTTTAATTTTTTCCCCCCTCAAGGCCCCAACTGTAGGAGAATGCCGTGGGCAGAGAGACAAAAGTGTTTGAAGGAACAATATTTCTTTGAGTGTACTTGCACTGCCTGTACAAAAGATGTGGCAAAGGAGGAGAAATTTAAGGTAATGGTATCTGTTTAA